CACACACACACACACACACACACACACACACACACACACACACACACACACTCACACACACAAACAATATACGATTACTCACCAAAATATTCTTCACACAGACAGACACATTAAAAATGATGAATATTAAGTACACCACATTTGATAACAAACATTACACCTACTACAAATAAAGATGAAGTTGTGTGTTTAAATGCAATGAATTTATTTCTCAGATGAGATGTCACGTCAAATGCCACTTGATGTTGCGGAGAGCCTCATTTACGCCGTGCAAAAAAGGGACGTGCTGTATAACATAAATTGTAAAGGATACAAGAACAGAAACAGCACAGAAATGGCGTGGACAGCTGTTTCCAGGGAAATAGGGCGAGATGGTATGTAGCTACCCCGAACTCGTCTCTAGTCAACAATATCACGTTGACCAAAATAATTGCCTTGAGAGGAGACTATCAGCAATTTCTCCATTATGTTAGTAAGTATGTTGTGAACGTACAGCACACATTCAGATGGACACTATGTTGGGGGTAAAGTTTGTTCCCTTCCTCTCTTTCAGTCATTTGTCACATTCTTCCTCAAAACGAGAGTTACTTTTGCTTGATCAGCAAATGATGAATGTTTTTGAAAACACCTGCATCACGTACATTGATGTCCATAGTCACCAATCAACAAAAGCGAAAATGTCATCTGCATCTCCCTACCTCAGAATTACAAAGTTCTATCGTGACATTTTTGGCCATTTTATGTTACTAAGAGCGTGAGGTCAGAAAGCGAATGCTCTATCTCCTCTATTAAAATCGTAAGAAAATTCGTAGTCGTTATCAAGATATTCAAAGAATCGCATTCGAAAAAGCTTGACACATTGTGAAACTAATTAATTATGACGTCAAATTTCTCAAAACTAGGTATTGAGCAGACAGAACTTTGTAATTCTGAGGTAGCCATCTGTCTCAGCTCGTAAAATATAAAACCAAGGGCACTTATACAATTTGGATATTGCCACAGAGTGAAAAACATTTGTGTGATTTGACAAAGTGACTCAGTGGTTTGTGGCAGTGATTTTGTTGGTTCCAATTGCCTCCCATACTTCATGTACCAGCTTTCCTTGCAGTGATGTTTTTTTGTCTTTTTAAAAATGCCCCCATCAACAAAATTTAGATCATTCAGGAGGCGGGCTCCCACCCTGCCTGTCAGGAACAACAAGAGCTGAGAAGGATACAACATCCCAGCAGAAAGAACGAGATACTTGATAAAAATTTCTCCTCCCTCTGGAATCGAACTCCACGTTTTCAGCCCCAAGCTTGTAGTGTACTTTGAAAACTTGCTTCTACTACTTACTAGAAATCTGAAATCTTAAACAAAGAAGAACTAAGTATAATTTTAAAGACAGTACAATATATAATCCCGTAATAATTAGAAACTATAATCAAAATTTGTACTAGAATTATTTATTTCCTTATTCTTGCTTTTAGCCCTTATGTGTGCTATGGTTACACATGGTGATCTTAAAACTGCTGGCTTTTTTCCTTCTCTGTAACAGTCACTTTTTGTAAAACAACGTGGTCCCAGTTCAGGGCCACATACAAGAGAACACTGACACAACATCAACTCCGCAGTGCATCTAAGCCTGGAAAACAGCCACTGTGGTATTTATTTCGCCAAATGTCCTTCCTGAAGGACCATGTGAGGCAACAAATACAAGATGAGGCACATGTGAGTAATGTAGCCTACACTAAACGTGCAGTAACTAATAACAGTCAAACCTGCACAGCGGTTACCTGTATATTTGACAATCCCTTGTACAAAGGGCCACTTCACATTACCTCCCTTGTGTATTTAGTACATAATAATAACACTGTGTACGACGTTCACCTGTGTAAGACAACTGCTGTACTCCTTGATAAAGGGTGGCGGTCCTAAATAATTTCGACAGTTTATATATGTTTTGATTTATATGGGTTTTTTTTGGTACAAGCATTTAATGCATTTCACTAACAAGGTATATCTTGTAAGATTATTGAAATTATTCATTTAATTTAAACTAGAGATATATAAACATTCATTTCAATCAATTTGTTAATCAATGCTTTCTACAAAAAACAGGGGCAATCTCACCCGTTAAAAAAATAAATATGTGGGCAACAACAGATGGACAAGTTCAAAATGAAATCACTTTCTTTTTTTTTGCTTTCTTTTTTGTTTACCTTCCTAATTTTAGGGGAAAACTTTCACCCTCGCCCCACACCCTCCTTGGTGTCACCTTTTGCTTATGAGTGTCAGTGTGGAAGTGTGGACAGTCTAAAATGGATATAGTTGGAGTAGTAAAACAACTGGTGTAAAATGTGTAGACCTTAAATGCAGCTTGCTGACTAGAGTTCTGCTTGTCTGTAACAAAATCAGTGGGAGGGGGGAATCTTTTGGTTAAGGTATGTACGAATTTCACAATGTAGGCCTATTTGTTTTAGACTCAAAGAAATACAATGGACCTGAAAATTTGTAGCAATGGGCATGTTTTGCAATGTATGTACTAGAATGTATTGGTCAATAAACTATTGAATGTTTTATGGTTTTGAAGGTCTGCCAGACTTGTAGTCGTGAGATTGCATGTTCGGGGGTTCAAGCCTCAGCTCGGTCCGACGTTGTGTCATTGGAAAAGGCACTTTACACGAATTTCCAACTCGGCTCGGTCCTTTCAAAGATGGACGTTAAACTTGGAGGTGCCGACTCTTAAATAAGCTAATAGTGTTGATAGGGCCGTTAAACCCATACCATTTCACCATTTGTTATGGTTTTGATCAACAGACATCCTCATCCTGCAGTCCTGACTTGGAACTTTGTGTGGAACTTCAGGAACAGAAGCAAGAGTACACAGACACAGATGAGACCGTGACGGGAGATATCGTAACGACGTATGAACAAGCTTCATCAGCACCAATGATGAAAGGTAAAGCAGATGTTTTTATTTTACATTGTGTTATATATATATATACATTTATATATATAATATATACATATATATTTATATGTATATATATATTTAACAAACAAATTCGTTTCTCTACTGTAAGGACTAAATTAGTAGATTTTTCCTTTCAGTTTTTACGTCCCATAAATGTGCTTCTCACCTTCTCTCTGGTCCTCTCTCCTCAATGATAATCTGACCGTTTTCTAGATTTCGAATGACGAGAATTCTTTTATGTAGTTGTTTTTTTACACCTCAATCGACACAATCTAGAACATTTCGAAGCTGGGCTTTTGACCCTGCCTGTCAGGGACAACCTGTGCTGAGAGGGACTCAACATCCCAGCAGAAAATCCAAGATCCAAATAAAAGTGTTCTCCCCACTTGGGAATCAAACTTGAATCTGCTGCATCTTACTGCATGTGACAGTGTAGCACCTAACCACTACATCACAGGTGCTGGTGGATTTAGAATAAATAAAACAAGATCTAAGCATTCCCTTGCTTATTCCTTTTCCTTTGGTTTTATCGTTGCATGTGTAGTATTGGACTCTCAACTATGGAACTGGGTTGACTACATCTAAAGCTATTCATTTCATTGTCAATGGCTGTTATCAAGAATGATATGGTGGATCTCAGACTGTAGAATTATTATCTTCATTGTCTACCTAAAAAATAAACAGCTCAATGGCTTGTTATTTGCTATTGTTGCACATTTTAAGAATAGTTTTTATGAAGAAGAGAAGCAAGAAAATCAAGACCGTCAAATCTCTACAATGACACTGGCGCAGAAGACCACAAGTGCTCAGTTTTTCGAAAATTCTTCTAAAAAGAAAATATAGGGCTTAGAAAGTCATAAGTTCAGCCAAAGTAAAAAAAGGTTTAAGTTTAACCAATCAACGGAATGTTAAGGCAGATAAGCACACCACTTTAGGACTGGGAAAGGTACTGCTATCTGCAGCGAGTTGTTGGGGTGTTTTTAATATTACAAGCTGCTTTCTATTATTTTCTATATTTTTACTCTCTTAACCATGCTAACTGTCTGTGGTAGTGTGCTAGGTCCATACTTCTCTTCCTCCTTGGATGTTAAAGTTAAAGATCATCATCAGTTCATGGTGGACACACTATTCTTATTATTATTACTCAGGTAATTGATTCTGATTTACTCAAACTATTATAGGCCTACTTGTTTGTTGAGTAAAGAGAGCCACATTGACACAATAGTGGTCATTTAGTGCTGGGGAAAAAGTAAGACAAACCGACAAAAACAACACAGGCAAAAAAAAGTAGTAGTAGGATCTACCAGTGATGCCCTCCATCCACCCTTACTTACTTACTTTTTTGGTTGGAGAATAGGTATCATTGCAGGCAGTACAATGCTATAGCTACTCCTCCCTCCTCATCCCCAAGATCCATGAAAGGGTTGGCCTCAAACCACCCGCTTAATTCTGATCTACTCTGCCTTTGTGATACACAGGAGATAGGAAGAGGAAAGCCCTACACGTGGACCCCAACCAAGAAACATTCCTGGAATCTAGAAAAAGGGTCCCCCCACCTCCTCCTGCTCTTGAATTCCAAACAGTGCCACCACCAGCCCTGCAGCCTGAATTACAGATTTTCTGGAGCCTAGTACCGTTTATAAGACAACTTACGGAACGAAGCAGGAGGGTGTTTGTTTCTCAAACAACATCACTCCTCATGGACTTGCTGGATCAGCAGGACTGATTTCTTTTTACTCTTCCTTTTTGTAAATAAATGAATAAATTATTATTATTATTATTATTTCGTATTTGACTTCTGCTTTTCGCTCATTTCTCGAGTGTCATTGTGCCAGTATTGGTTTGTTGGAGTTTGATGCAGTGTTTTTGCAGGTACGTTTCCAACGGTTTTTTTACTTCTGTCTGTGGTATAGCGGTTAGGCACTTTGCTGTCACATGCAAGAGACCTGAGTTCTATTTTCATTAGGGAGAATTTTGATTGAGTATCTTGGTCTTTTTGCTGGGGCATTATACAGTGGAATCCTGTTATAACGAGAGGGAGGGGACCGGAGCAAAATGTCCGTTATAGCAGGATTCTCGCTATAAGGGATCCAGTAATAAATTCAAGGGAAACTGTAAAGTAGGCCTAATCTATGAGTTTGGTGTTTTGTTTATTTCCTTTTGCTATCTCCCCTGATTTTGATTTTGTTTCGACATGACCTCTAGGTCTTACATTTTATGTACTTAATCAAAAATCGAACCGGTTTCTTTCTCTAGCGCTAGATCTAGTGATGTTGACTGGCAGCTCGACGTTGGCGATCAGAAAGAAAGGGCTCTAGGCTAACTCGCCCACTGTGTTTTCCCCCACCCCATCACACCCTGTGGTGCATTCCGTCAGCTTGCGCACGTCACACATTCGCTCCATCCATCACAGCATTGTAGCCTCTCCATCCCCGCATCGGAGAAGTGAGAGGCATGGTATGGTAGGCCTTGATAATCTAAACTAGGCTTATGCTGGCCTATCACGCAATGCGTTCTGCTTGTCTGCACATGCCACACCCTCCCCACTCATTCGCTCTGGCCTTCATTGTTGACAAACATGGGCTCTCCCATTCTTTATTTCACTAGACCACCAACTAGTTTCTCAACTGGCGAGGTTTTACATTATGTATAATTGGGCTATGCACTGTGCACAGCAGCAGGAATATTCCACTATAACCAACTCGCGTGTTTGACTGCGTTATAGCAGTATTTTATTTACAAAGATAAAGAAGAGAAAAAAACAGGGTTTTAGAATAGTGTCTTTATAACAGACTTCTCATTTTTTCTGGACTCGTTATAAGTGGACTCAGCCCGGACTATCAATGGGCTATACCCCAATCGAACTGAGCACAATTTGCTGCACACTGCACACATGGATCAACAGAAAACATCGAGTGAAGTTACAGTTTGTGCACGAGAACACAAATCGTCTACCCATCCATTGCAAGTGACTGTTATCTTAGAGCAGGATGCAAAATCTTCTTTGTGCAAGCTGGGTCTTTCACAGTGATCAAATTTCTGCCCTTACATGACCTTATTGTGTTGCAAGTGCCGTAAAACTCCTACTAAAACTTTTTTAAAAACAGTGATAAAAGACTTATTGAGCCACATAGTGACATACACAAAAGTGTCAATTTATTACCTTTAAGACTGTTTCAACAAGTAGTTGACTTATGGTAACAATCAAATTTCCTACATAATCAACAATTTACATAAGAGTAGAGTGTTCTAACTTAACATTGACATTTATCATCTTGACACTACATTACCCTGCAATAGTTCACCAGACAAAACCATGAGAGCTTGATTATGATTCAGATAACGGGTAGTTAACATGTTGAGAGAAGAAAAGAAAGAAAGGCAAAGAAACAAGAATAAAACAAGCCTCCTAAAAACCATTTCATTTTCATTGAGTACCGTATGACGATGTAAATATGCAGATCATATAAGAAAAAACTAACACTAAAAATAATATTGGATAAAAACAGCTGCAACAAAAACTACAAACAAAAAGCAAGGAAGGAAAGTAATTTATAAATTACCGAAGAATATTGTTTGATTGTTCACTCCTTGAAGTTGAAGAACCTTTATGATAGCGAATAGATCTGAATCTTGGACTCAACCCTCAAAAAGTGGAGAGATTATAATATGAGTCTCTCAGTCTTATGAGAAAAAGAAAGAAGTATCACAATTTAATTAAATCAAAGACAAAATGGTCACGTACTGAGTAGACAATATGTGTCACGACGCGGTGGAATCAGGCGCTCGTCAAATCTTGGGCATGTGGAGTTATTGATATCATCTTAAATCTTGTTAATCTTTCTTGCTTTTGATGAAAAAAAGAATACTCATCCATCATGAATAGGAGTCGAGGTATTCTCTATTCACTATTAAAAGAGGGGGGGGGGGGGGTCGCCTGGTTTCAGAGGTAAAATTAGCAAGAAAATGACCACTTGGAAATACTTTGAAGCATAATTTCATGTTTTGTGCCTTTACTTCAATCAACGTTTTTCAGTAAAACCCACCCAGAGATGTGATTTTAAATGGACATAATAAAAGGTGTTGAGGCAAAATAAAATAAAAATTGCCAAACAGACGGAAAAAACAATGCTGGTTTCTTCAATTCCATTATTTTGACATGTGCCTGATTTCACCACGCCACCTCACATATATCAAGGCTCTTGCATGGGAACACTGGAATGAAGCGTGATAAAATACTATCTCAAAATACCCTCCACCCGAACTTTAAATCTAAAATGTATGCATGCACATGAAAAATCTTATTGAAAAACAAAAATCTAATATATTGATGAACCCTCAGACTGTTCAGTTGTGCAAAGGCCCACCTGCTGAGGAGCAAGTAAAAAAGGGAAACGCCACTTTAAAATCATCAGAGAAACACAAATCTCATAAACTTAAGCATATGATTTATTAGATCAATCACTTTACAATTACATAATGTGTTTTAAGATTCTATGTAATTTCAGATAGAGGAATGTAATACCACACACAGAATCATAATATACAGCACAGATATATAAATTCTAGTTATTGAAATGAACAGCAACTGTGATTATAATTTCTGGAGCCGCATGGAATTCCTTAACATTTATAATACTATCAGTTCTAGTTTATGACACCTATTGTCTGAGTTCTCATTTCAAATTTAAGAAAAATAAAGATCTTCCAACACAAGATGAAAAAATTTTGGTAAAAATAAAGAATTGATTGAACCAGTTTAGATCTATGTCTTCTTCAACAGAATGGCATAAAGCCTGCACCATTTTTCAGTATGCTGTACTGTATTCTTTGCAAGCAACTGTTGACTAAAGATTGAGCATAGACATATTAGAAGAAGCCGAAAACTTTTTACCTCTTTGTAAAACTGAGAGTTTGTCTGTAAAATGTATACCTTGTAGCACATACACACATTTGCCCTTTATACTTGGGTTTGTAAACCTTTTAAAAAAAACAGTTTGCAATTTAAATGAACACAAACATCTTTGATTATAAAATGGTAAATCATTTTAAAAAGTTCTTGTCACTTAAAAGTTATTATACATACATACTTATATATATATATATATATATATATATATATTTTTTTTTTTTTTTATATATTTTTATATATATATATATATATATATATATATATATATATATATATATATATATATATATATATATAAAGAGAGAGATATTGGTACTTGATAAGTTGTCACAAAAAGACCTCTAAAGAAAATGGCCAAATTCTCATTTCCCCACAATCAAATGTGAGGCGTGCAGACAAAATGAGTTACTTTTCAATCCACAAATGGAGATATAGGCCAAAAATCGACACATGTGTCAAATTTTTAAAATTAACTATAACATGCCTTTTGTTATTTCATACTAATAAATCATAAAAACTTCACCTATAAGTGTGGTAAAGCCTTGCAAAACAAATAAACTCTTTGATTTTGTAGACATACATCTTTTAAAAAAACCAACTCCTTGCATGCAGTGCATTATTAAAAGATTGCCAGAGGAATAAAATGTACAAATTCATGTACTATGAAAGAACAGACTATAGTCAGCTGTATCGCATTATAGCCAGGTCAACATAACAACAGGTATAAAAAAAGATAGAGAACTGCTAAGATGAGGCTCGGCTGCAATGCCCACATGATACAATAGATTACTTGATTCATAAGTGGTCAGTAAATTCAATCAATTCTCAAAAAAGTAGTAAATGTAAAACAGTCTATATTCTAAGTACAAGGCAACACAAATCAATAATAACAATAATTCGTAGATATTTATAGCAGCCATTCCGCAATTAGGTTCCAGGCTCTACTAAAACTAAACTAAAAGCCTTCCAGCCCAAAACGAAAGGACAGCTTTATTCATTAATGTATTGGTAATTTGGGTGACGGTCTTTATTTAAAAAAATTACTCCAGCTTTCATCAATATATATCAACGGTATTTTTTTTTCTTCCAGTACAATCCCAAATCATTCTAACATTATACAACTGGTTTTACAAATGACATCAACTTACAAAAAAGTTTCTTAAAACCACTGTTCCTTCATTTTTCCATTTGCATATTAAAATACAGACTGCTTGGAAAGGACCACAAACAAATTTTCTTTGGGCAGAAATAGAAGAAAGTCTCATAATATGTGTGGGTGCCAGGGAAAACTAGGCACATTGTAGTTGTCAGGCATTTTGAACTGAGACAGTCATGCTATACTTCTGTCAGTTCTCTAAATTATGCTTTGGATTTTTAGATTTCCAAGATGTCTTACTTTGTAGCCAAGTTGTGGTGTTTTCAATTAAAGACAAAGTTTCGATAAAAATGCATCTGTAGTTGTGGAATACATTTTTTTGGAGGTTTTTAGGTTCTAACCCATATTGCAGCTAGTCAACAGCGGTTATGCCCTTTTTAGGCATTGGTAATTCTATAAAGAATCCCCAAACCACATGAGAGAACGAAGTAAATGTAAAAAAAAAAAAGGCACAGCATGATAAAATGACTAAATTTACTGTATCCATTCCCTGATCTTGAAAAGTACGCATTCCCAAGCAGAAATGCAGGGAACACAAAAATGATTGCTATCCCATTTGTCTCACTGGTTGATACAACTCAAAATCATCCTATTCTAACAATAGAGAAACAGAGCTTTCCCCACATACCAAGCAGTATGACAATTCTCTATTATGTAAGGAGGAGAAAAGCCACAAAACAACAGCGTTGTTATGTTAGATTTATGATTCATTTCAACTTTGGTGAGTTTATGCACACTTCACAAAAAATGTTTTAAAATATCTTTTGTACTTTTCTGTTTGTTCAAAACTTCTAACTTTTTAATAAATATATCTAAGTCAAAATAATTAATAGAAAATAGGAATACAATTTCAAAAATCCATTTTTTACACTTTTTTCAGCTTTCGCTCAATTCAGCTATCAATAACATGAACTTAGTTTTCCCACGTACCCACATATATAATAATGCCCGCTAATAAGACATGACTAGTCTATTTTCTTCTGTTATTCGTCTATAAACTCTATGCAACAAAATTTGGTTTTATTCTCCGTTAAAAAAGTGCATGCGGCTAGTCTTCCTCAACATAATTATTTTTAAAGTCTCACTATTCAGGCTCAAAGACTAGAACTCAGATGGCCACTTGGCCACTTGGCCACTGAATCGGAAAAGTAAAGTAAAAGTAAAAGTAAAGTCTCGCTATAATGTACAAAAACAAAACTTTTGGCACTAATTTATGTGATCAATTATTAAATTCTTTCGGCTGTTCTTGACCTACAGGTACGTGTCTTATCCGAAGCAGAAAAATCTTAGGCTAATGACATGAGTCAAAGCTGTTTACTGAATTGTTGAAAGCTTTCCACATGCCGAGGTTCTGCAAACACACGGTGCCACCCCCTCTGTGGAACTGGCTCTCCATACGGTTGATGTCCCCGATACATGTCCAGGGGACGGAACTCATGTTGGAGACATTCTGAGGGTACAAACAAAAAATGTCCCGTTTTCATATCAGTACAGCGGAATCCTGTTATAACGAGAAGGAGGGGACTGGTGTGAAATGTCCGTTATAGCAGGAATCTCGTTATAAGGGACCTAGTAATCAATTCAAGGGAAATAATAAAGTAAGCCTAATCTATGAGTTTGGTGTTCTGTATAATTCTTTTTGCTATTCCCTGATGATGATTTTGTTCAACATGACGTCTAGGTCTTACCTGATCAAAAACCGAATCAGGTTTCTTTCTCTTGCGCTTGCAATGTTGACAGCTCGGCGTTGGCAATCAGAAAGAAAGGCTCTCAGCTAACTCGCCCGCTGTATTGCCCCTCACCCAACCACATCCTGTGGTGCATTCCGTCTGCTTGCGCATATCACACATTCCCTCCATCCATCACAGCATTGTGACCTCTCCATTCCCGCATCGGAGACGTGAGGGGATTGGTAGGCCTAGATAATCTAGACAAGGTTGGCCTATCACACAATGCGTTCTGCTTGTCTGAGCATGCCACACCCTCCCAACTTATTCACTCCGGCCCTCATTGTTGGCACCCGTGGGCTCTCCCATTCTTTGTTTTGCTAGATCACAGACAAGTTTCTCAACTTGCGAGGTTTTATATTATAACTGGCCTATGCGCTGTGTTTAGCAGCAGCAACATTCCGCTATAACCGACTTGCAAGTTTGTCAGATTATGTTATAGCAGTATTTTATTTACAAAGATAAAGAAGGGAAAAAACGGGGTTTTAGAATAGTGTCTTTATAACAGACTTCTCTTTATTTCAGGACTCGTTATAAGTGGTCTCCACTGTACAAACTGCATTTAAAAAAAGCACAGGAAATCTTTTTTATGAGCTAACTTTTCTTGGAATAATCGTCAATATATCAGTAACTTCCTCCAGGGACAAATTTGTAATATCCACAATATAACAGCCATTATTATAATAGGGTCCAAAGTGTGGGTTTATAAAATTTCCATACTATTGCTTGTATAACATTAGTGAATATCAACATTCAGTTAACTTTCCAATTATATATAACTGCAGTTACAATGTTTACTACGCCATCTGTAAAAGTCGTCTTATTTCAAGACCCTCGATATGATTCAGGTAGTCACAAATTGATTACTCTCCCCGGGGCGGAGCTACTGACTGAAGTGTCTTTAGGCCATTTCCAAAGGGGGGACATTAACATGTTCTTATGCACAGTAAAATTGTAAATGGGCTGATTCATCAATGTCATGCTCATCATTGTGCCCAGCTGCAACAGGGAACTGCTGCTTTTTCTTTTCTAATCCTTACTATCGTCATTTTCCTCTACTTCTTTTTTATGGTTTGTCACACTCTTGGGACCCGCTATTTCCAGGGTGCCTTGATAGTTGAAGCAGACTTTGTGCTGTTGAAGCTAGAGAGGTGTGCAGAGTAAGCCTGATTCCCAGTGTAAGGACTTCTTTGTTGACATCCACCCCTTGGCACTCATATGACCTTCTGCGGTTGCGAGTGCCGTAGAAACTCTACTAAAACTAAAAACTAAAAATACTAAACAAATTGATTACATCCAAAAGGTTTCAACAGCTGAAAAAAAAAGGTTTTCTTTCTCCTTTGCATTCCCCATCTAGAACTCTGAAGTTGCTGACTGCTGGTTCTTCAACCTGCAGAGCAAATGACATTTACGTGTGTGGCCATTTATTCTAATTAGTAGGGCCCCTTGCCTTCAGGCAGTTAAATTCTGATTTTGAAGGTACTGTATTTGTTGTTATACTGACTAGAGTATTTTCAGTCTGGCAAGAGTTAATTCTTAATTTTGCGCAGGTGGCTGCCCTAGTCTACCCTTATCAAGTTTAGGACCACCAAGGGATCTCTAACATGTGCAACTTGCATATATGGGACCTCCAAGAGTTTTTCTCCTTTACTTTATCCAGGAAGGCTAGGTACTCCATCTTACCTAACCTAAGATCAGAGGTACGGCTGAAAAATAGCAGTAAGAAGGAGCCAGGAGTAGCACTACAAAGAGGAAGGGAAAAAAGTAGACATGAAAGCAGATGATAGAACATGACTAGAGAACAAGAAAGGATGCGAAAGGAGAACATTTCAGAGAAAAAAAATTTCCGTTGCTGTCAGGTACACCAGTAGTGGAATTTTAATTGCAGCGGGGGGTTACCCGCCAAGTGCCTTATCATGTCGGGGTCACTGGGGTCAGCTCCCTGTCGCCGACCTGTCTGGGCTGTTTGGTGCTTTTCAACGTACAGTTTTAGGCGTCTTTATGGTTTTTATAATTTAATGTATCCAAAGTGCGCATTTCTGCTCTTGAGACTCAAAAAAGAACGGACGTTGTAAATTGTCTGGTTATTCCGTTAGACAAGCTGAAGTCGGCTAAGATAAATGTAAAATTTTTGGAAAAGTGTGAAGTAAAAAAATCAATATAAAAAAAAAATCAGTACGACAAAAACTGTCAAACTTTTAAAACATGTATGACATAACATTGGTGTAGGTACTCAAAAAGATGGTATCTGCGCATATAATAGAAAGCTTTCATTTTGCAACATTATCCATCTGGCACACAGTTCGCTATAAAGTAATTCCTCCAAATACAACATTATGTGTCTAATAATATAATCGCGAATATTCGCATATTTTCTGGTAAGTTTATAAAAATTACCCTGAAGTTGCTCTATGAAAAAGTACAAATCGACTTTAGTGCCAGAATACATCTACAATGCAATACACGAACAGTATCTGTTACACTCCAGAAATTCTTTACTTTTCTTAAAACGTTAAGTCTAGGTTTTGTATGTTGACTGAATAACGGATGACTTCTCGTAATAGGATATAAGAATAATTTCTAGCTGTCCAGTGACACTGAATCAGCACAAGACTTTTTCAGCTTTTATTTTCGTTTCTATAACCATTTACAATAACTGACAATGTTCTGATTTCTTTACATTCATAAGAGTCTGAGCATTTCTGACACAAAAACTAAGAATGAATGGGATAGCTGTCATTATTTGTATTCCATTCAAGAAGTTTATCTCTACCTATGTATTTACAGTTTTATGTTTTTTTTAAATCGCATAATATAACTTTCTTGGTTGTATGCAGGCTGCCACAGACACAGCATGATTCATGAAAAAACGCAGAGTGTGTTGAGCGCCTTTAGTTTAAAAATGCAGATGTGCATCTTTCTTCTCTTATAAATTGACTATTACAGCGCAGATTTAAGATTTCACAAGTTAAAGACACGATATTCGTAGCCAGTTTAGCACAGATTTTGGAGAGATCTGTCGCGCCGGTTATAAATAAACAGTCATTTATTCATAAGTTTGTAATTAAAATAGGACAAATTGGGTACTCTATAAACAATTGTCTAGACCAAAAATTAAGACACAGAAATTAACCATTCTAACGCAGAATAAATCTCAAGACACTGAGCTTTTAGTACACCAGTGTAATGGTTTGCTGTGTGGGCTGAGGAAGGAGTTCTGTCGTTTCAAACGTAGACAAAAGTGCAAAATTCTTAACTGACATCGGCAAATTCACTTCAGGGATCATTAACCCCGTGACCCCGAGCTGGGGCGCGCCGGTGGGCAACTGAGTCACACTAACTAAAGGTAACAGAATCGGGCGAAAAGTAACGTCGTGTGAACCCAGGACCTTTTGATCCTGATCCAGGACTGCTTTTCAAACTGTCTCGGAGGCCATCACAAAGTGAGGTGAACAGTCAAATCACTAGACTATTTTCCTTTTCGCATGATTTTTAAAAAACGCCCTCTTAGTCGTAAACCTTATAATGATACAAAAAGGTAACTTTTTTAAAGAGATGCATTTGACTAAAAGCAATCAAAAAGAACATTTTCAGTATAAACTGCAATCTAAAAAATAAACGAGTAATCTCTGAAAGTTGTTTTTTCCTTTCCGAAAAAATAAGGACATACAGGCTACCTTCACATAGCTAGCCGCCCACTTGGCATGGTCTTTGGTTTCCTTGAAAAATACTGGACCAGGCAGTGAAATTCCTGTGACTTTGAAGACCTGGAGAGACGAAAAATAACGAGCGTGCAATCAAGTACCAAAGACCCAGTAAACACTTTCTACCCAGGCAACAGCAGAGCATGCAACACTTGTCCTCACGGACCAGGAAACAGATGCGGTACATCAGTACATGTACTACACCTGTATCTCGGCAAAAACACCCCAACCATTATCAAAACTTCAGCATACTGAGAAAATTGAAAGTGATGATCGCATGTTCATTGAAAAAGGAAATAAAGTCGTATCTGAAAACATTGGATCAACCTCACTCATCACCCGAATTCTCATCATAGCGTAAGTTAAGAGTAAAGCAGCCCTCATGCTAGAGGTCTACTTGACATTTTTTTTAAAAGTTTGCTCCAATTGTTGTATACAAACTGATTTTCGACTTCAAAGACCACACAAACCATTCGGATAGAAAATTTAACATTAGCAAGTGAACATGACAAAAGGAGATCGTTGCTACGTTCTTGTTGCTATATCACATCGTCGCCGATTGTGTCCCGTGTGGACAAAGTGTTAAAAAGGACCCAACCCAGATTAATCTATTCCCTGTTGGACTATTTTTCAAGGATAAAAATACATGTATGTAAATTGTACAGACTGAACAGCCCTTGCAGCACAGTGAGGTTATTTAAGAGGCAAGACCTCCAAATTTTATAACCATCTGATACAACTGAACTAAATGAGAAAATTTGCTTAAAGCGTCTTTCCGGAGGTTCTGCAGATTTCGTTGACTCTATTGTAGTTTTGAGTTTAAGTCAGAAAAGCACATAAACAATAACAGACATTTAGTTCTGGAAAAAAAACAAGACAGACCATCAAACACAAAACAAGGAAAGTAAAAAAAACAATAATAATAAATAATAATAATAGCATTTGTATATCCCAAATTCCCACTTTACAGCAGCCTCTATGCATATATGCGCTTTACAATCCATATTATTACCCAGGCAGACTTGGTAGCATTCTGAAACAATCTCAACTTCCTGGGAAGCATACAGTGCAAGCTGCCATTTATAAGTGCTAAAACACTCACATACTGACAAGATCTTTCACTGTCTGGTACAATGTGCCCATTCCCATCCGGATGAAGAGAGGAACATTCGTGTAAAGTGCCTTTCCCACTCGAACCCTCGAACCTACAACCTTATGATTACGAGTCTTGTAGCCTAACCACTAGACTGCCGACGCCACATTGTAAAGAAGTGGGACCTACCTGGAGCATTCCTTAACCATACACAAACATGACGCAACAGTGTGGAGAGACTTATCATCATCTGTGAGAGAAACCTAGTAAAGCACAGCCCCTTAGCCTTTTTTGTCTCTAGATAGAAGGAGAGCAATTATTACCTCGGAAACAGTAACAACGATCACACTTTGGAAACACATATATTTTCCATATTTTCTTTTGCATGCATGCCAGCTCGCTCTCTCTCTCTCTCTCTCTCTCTCTCTTTCACTCTCTCACTCACTCTCACTCACTCTTTCACTCTCTCTCTCTCACTCTTTCACTCTCTCTCTTTCTCTCTCTCTCTGTCTCTTTCACTCTCTCACTTACTCTTTCACTCTCTCTCTCTCTCTTTCTCTCTCTCTCCGTCTCCCTCCCTCTCTCACACACACTGATATAATTTCTCCGGATACCTTGTAGTGGGCGGAACAGTTTGAGGGCAGCTTCGTACCCTCAGTCCTCAGCCATGTCTCAACAAGGAGGTCGTTCTTCAGAGTTGGAGCTACTAAAGCATCATACAAATCTGAAAGATAAAAATCAAATAGCTGTTACGTAGTAGCAAGCGAAACTCCACAAACTGCTACTTCAGAATTACAAAGTTCTATCTGACGTTTTTGGCCGTTTTTTAAAGCTACTTAGACAACCAAGTCAGAAATCAAATGCTCTAATTCTATCTTCTATTTTAAAATAGTAAGATTATTCGGAGTTGTTATCAAAACAATCAAAGTATCTGTCCCCGTGGTTTTATGCACCCCGCATAATTTAGCAAAATTTGATCATTTTTTGCAAAATTTCTGATTATTTTCCTTTATCATTCTTTGTTAAAATTAACAGAATGGCATAATTTCACATTTTTGGGCTCAGTTTGCATTATTTCAGAATTTTTCTTGCATAAAACGACGGGAACAGAAGTATTGCATTCGAAAAGCTTGACATGTTGTGAAATTCAAAATTTTTTATGTCAAGTTTCTCAACAACTAGGTACTGAGCAGACAGAACTTTGTACATGTAATTCTGAGGTAGCGAAATGTTTGGAGAAGGCAACTTGAGGGAAAACTTTTCTTTACTCTACTTAACACACTTCTTTACACTGAGAAAAAGAGGATAAAACTATTAGGTAGAAAATACAAATGTTCCAAACTTTTTATTTAAAAAATCAATATCCATACTTTTTTTTTCTACTTTCTCCATACACTCTACGACCTTCCTGCAAGGAATGAAAAAATAAACTTTCTACACATTGGTTATATTTGTAACTGAAGCATTCCTTTCTACTTAAGATGAACTTGAATTTCTTATTCCTGACCGACTGTTCAAAATAAAATATCCTGGAGCACAGTCATGCCGGAGAGCCTGGTTCAAATCCCAGCTTGGGCAGTATTGAATTTATGTTGCATGGAGTGTTCCCATAGTTCTCCACTCATTCAATTTGGTCCTATTAAAAGCTGGACTTCAAAATATGTCTACCAGTGAAATGAAATGATCGTACTGTGATGAAACAGGCATTTAACCTACCGAACGTTACATCAAACTGGCAACTTTACTGTAGATTTTTCCTGCCTCTGTCACCTTATGTGTTGAGGGAAGAAACAAACGTCCTTGTTTTGTTTGTTACATTGCCTGTTACATGTTACATGGTTATATTGATGTTGTCTACTGTTTCTCTGACCCCCTCTATTCATCTTTTCCTGAGCCTTCCTCTTCATCTGTATCCATCTAATCTCTCTGGTTTTAAGCCCTCACTGCTATACAGTCTGGTGGTAGTTATGACAGATGTCCAAACCATTTTATTTGTTGTTTACCTGGCTTTTATCAGGAGTAAGACGTACAAGTCACCAGAACCGAACGCTTCAGACCAAAATGGCAGTAACATAAAAACTTAGGATAAAAAGCATTATTTTCCTCCTCTAAATTTAATCAAATAATTAGGTTTCTGACAAATGGGTACCTCCGCCTTTACCCTCTCATATAGTAAATACTAAAACCTGCTTTGATATGTATTATCACATGATCAAGTGCTTTGAAAGTTCGTTCACAAAGAACGATGAGAAATATACGAGGCAATTGTTTTAATTTTTTTTCTCTAAATGTAGGTGATTTTATGTCCCGATCGGTACAAATTAAATAATTTAGGAGGCAGACTTGCGACCTTGTCTGTCAAGGTCAACCAGGGTTGAGAGGGATACAACATTCCGGTGAAAGGCCAAGATACTTGATAAAAATTCTCTTCACTCGAGAATCAAACTTGGACATCCTTCATGCTACAGTGAAGCGTCTAACCGCTACACCCCAGACACAGTTTTTTTGGTTTGGGTTTGGGTTTTTTTGTATTGCATTCTTTTTTGTTAACACTTTAAAGACGCGTCAGACAGATCTGTCTGACCAAAAGCAGTTCACATTCAATGTTGTTGCACATTTCAAGCCCACATACACAAACCATAAACACAACATTTGACATTTCATATTAATATAAATGTTGTCGTCTGCCTTTCTACATTTCTGAAAAAGAAAACAGAATTGGAAAATCTGTATGGATATAACAAAGTTAAGCTTTTCCAAGCATTTGAAAGGGCAGGATTGGCGTCTTCAATGAGTTAAAGCAATTGCTTTAAGATGATGGGAAACTTAATAGTGTTTTTGAGTGACGTACGTCAACTTCAGCTCCAAAATGATATACTTTCAAATTAATTCAAGACAATGATGACAATTAGACACCTGCCTTTCTGGAAGTAATGGAAAATTGCGAAGCGTACAGAGTAGAAAAATGTTGTTTCCTTTCACATACACAAGAGACAGACTTTGAAGCCAGCCAGAAATTTTTGGTTGCAGCATGCACTTTCAAAAACATAAATCAAAGGAAATAATTGCAACCATGAAATATCCAATTGGATTATCTTCCGTCCCAAAAAGTTGGCTTCGCACCATGCAACACATCTTCCTCAGATTGTCAGCATGCATGACAAAGAATTAATCACTGCTGGCCAAATCAAATCTGCAATCTATGACAAAAAAAGTTGTTCCCGCATCCGATCTGGACATTGGGGATTGCCTTGTTAGTGTGACAACTTCTTTCTAATCTATGACAAGCAACACTAAAGTCATCGCAAAAATATTTGCTGAACTTGTCACTGTCCTTCACAGATAGAGGAATAAATGATGAAGTTTGCCGAATGATTCTCAATGTCTTTGAACTACAAAACACCTATTTTTTCCCCAACATACTTTTGTTGCGGGTGGTTGGCGGGTGCTCTGGTGTGGTTTGCTCCTTCTTTCCTATCGAACATCTATTGTCCTTATCTCCCCTTCTTACTATTTTATGTTTGTAACACCTCTAATCTTCTGGCGCTCATATGACCTTATGCAGTTGTGAGCGCCGTAAAACCTTCTACTAAAAGTAAAATACTTTTGTTTTCTCTTGATCATCAATTATCAATTACCAGGGAAAGAAAGAGAAAAATGTCAGCAGTTGTCTGAATATTGGGCTCTGCTCACAATTTGAAATAAAAACCTCGACAGAAAAACTTCCCTCAAAATGTGATCATCGAGTACTGCCATCGATGTGAGCTGAAGCTGTGAGTGCGAGGAAGCTGCACTATGACCACAGAGACAGGTGTGCTCACACCACTGGTAAGGCACCACAGTCTGTATTTTCCTCTAGTCTTACTCTTAATAGTCTAAACTGCAGTATTGAAAAGACAAGTTGACTATGCGTTTGCAATGAACGCATAAAATAAGTCCAAATTTTCTTTGAACTTGAAATTTAATCAGCAACAATGGGCTGCATATTATATTCCTAGTACAGTCAAACCTGCTCTAACGGCCACCTGTATAAAACAATCACCTGTACAAACAATCACCTGTACAAAACAATCACCTGTACAAAACAATCACCTGTATAAAACAATCACCTGTACAAACGGTCACTTCCCATTTCCCCTTTTGCATGTTTTTTCACATCATAATGATACCGTGTGAGACGGCCACCTGTCTAAAACTGCACCGTTTCTCCTCCACAATGGGTTGCCGTCTTCAACATTTTTGTCTGTATAAACAGCCAGTGTCATACCTGCACCAAATTTATAAGACTTTGCAAAACTAACAAAAGTCTCTCCGCCTAGAGATGAGAGTTTGAGAACGCTTGACCACGGGGGTCCAAGTGGATGCTGTCTGTCAATGACCTTCTTAAGGACAGGAAAATCTCTGGCGAAATCGGCAGGGAGTACGTAGTCATAGATAGTCGGTTCATTGTACAACAGTTGAGTCCCTGTGTGAGATGAAATATACACAAAAATGAGGTACTTCACAGAGTTGAATACCTTTCATATGGACACTTACAGAATTATCCATAAAAATTTAATTAAAAAAACAATACACATTTAAAGAAAACTGCCTCCAGATGTATTTTCAAAAGTAACATGTTTCTTGATTTACCCAAGAAGGATAAAGGTGGTATGAAGAAGATTTATTTTTCAAAACGAGATAAAACATCCCAAAGGTAAATTCCTTTCACAGAGGCACTTACAAAATTATCCATAAAATATTTTTAACCCACTTAAAGAAAACTGCCTACTGAAGTGGCTTTTAAAGTCACGTGTTTCTTAAAGATGAAGATTTACTTTTTTAAATGAGATAATACATCCCAAAGATAAATTCTTTTCAGAGGCACTAACAAAATAACCAATAAAAATTTAAAAAAACAACACCCATTTTAAGAAAACTGTCAACTGACATGGTTTCAAAAGCAGTCTTTATAACCAATAATACTACACATCTTCTTCCCCTTTCCGCC